CTCCTGACGACTTTACAGGCTGTATCCAGTACCATTCTGTCATGTAGACACTCCAAACTCAAAAGTCCACGACCTCCCTGTTGTCGGGGGAAGTACAACCGTGGAACGGACGATTTGGGATGCAAACTCCTATAGAGATGCATCATTTTTCGGGTCCTTACGTCGAGTTGATACAGCTCCTCCCGAGTCCACTTCACTACTCCAAAGGAGTAGAGTAAGATTGGAACGGCAAGCATATTTGTTGCAGCTACTTTGTTCTTCCCCGACAGTTCCGATGACCAGATCTGTCGAAGTTTGTGCTGATACTTGCCGCGGAAAGAATTCGTCACGGCTGTTACCTCTTGTGAGTGGCGTTGTTCCACCCCGAGGTAAGTATACGTCTCTCCGGCACTCAAATGATGTAGGATGCTTCCATCTACGAGCTGCATATCCTCTCCGTAGTCACCGCATCGTCCTCTTTTGAGATGGACCATTGCACATTTGTCTATCCCGAATTTCATACCGATAGCATGCGTAAACTCTTCCATAACCTTCAAGGACTGATGGAGATCCTTTCCTCCAGATGCATGAAGGTCAAGGTCATCCATATAAAATAAATGGGTGACCTTGTGCCTCCGGTTTCTGGGGGTGCTATAGTTATACCTGCGAGTATTTCCGAGCGCAACAGATAATGGCAATAGTGAGGTGCAGAAGAAAAGGGGACTGAGAGAATCTCCCTGAAATATTATTATTATTATTATTTTTATTATTAATATTATTATTACTAAAATTATGACATAATTTCATGAATGAGTTGAATTTAGTCATGTCATCGATGACTGTTCGTGAGATATTCATTCGTTCATTTGATTCGATCCCAGTCATAGGAACTTGTTTAAATTCAAAGGAGTATGCTTTCAGAAGAGATTAATTTTTTTGGCTTTCTACTGCTTCATCTCCATCTCCACACGAAAAATGTGGGAAACTTCCAAAGAAAGAAAGTGAGCAATTCTTTTCGAAATACACTTTTCACAAAGATGTGTAGATCATGCAAAGAAATATCTTTCAGAAACAAACTGGAAGATTCCCATATTTTTTGTATAGAATAATTTGTATGGAATAAAATACCCTCTCGAAACAAAACTTTTTTCAAATAAACACTCAGTTACACGGAACAGATTGGGAGCAGCTTTTGATTATTACAATTTAGTATTAGCTCGACAAATAACTTGCTATAGTATAACAATTCTGAATTGAAGGTAACTCATATACAAATTGAACTGAGAAATAACGGTAGCAATGTTAAATGTTAGAACTAAATTCTTACCGGGGTCATTTTTATTGTCTATGCATNGTGCACTAATTTTTCATCCAAAAAAACGGGGAATTATCACTAAGACATGGACGCCCAACGCTTTGAAGAATGGTTTGAATCCCTTCTTTCACGAGTCGAGCCTAATTCGGTAATAGTAATGGATAACGCTCCTTATCACAGCCGATTAGTAGAACAGCTGCCAACTATGACCACCAGAAAAACAGACATGCAGAGTTGGTTAGGACAAAAAGAAATTTCATTTTCCGAGGACATGGTTGAGGCCGAGCTGATGAGCTGATGTCATTAAACAGCATCGTGACAGATATTGCCAGCATGTGGTGGATACAATAGCTCGTGCTGAAGGCATCAGCATTTTGAGACTTCCTCCTTACTTTTGCGAGTTAAACCCGATAAAATTATTCTGGGCTTATATTAAGGGTTACGTAGCTCGTGAAAACATGACATATAAAATTTCTGGTGACCAACGTTTATTAGAACTTGCAATGGAACAGATACGGAAAGAAGATTGGGCTAATGCTGTAGCCCATGTGATCAAGGAAAAAGAGAAAATGTGGAGATTGGACGGGATGGTAGACACAGTTTTCGACGAAACAATAATAGATTCAAGTGTGACTGGGGATTCCTCTTCGGACGAGTCAATGGATTCTGAAACTTCATAAACATAACATATTTCTTTGCTTTGTAGTTCTCTTTCTATATGAAAGGAACATAATAATTATTATGTAAATTTTTCTGTTTTTTTGAAGTACTGTATTATGCATAATAAGAAAATGTAATCAGTTTTACCATTGACACCAGGTTGCGCCACCTACTATAAACATTTTTCGTAATTACCTATATGTTTGAATAAATGAAAATATTATTTTGGTACGCCTCTGCAGAGTTGGTAAGAGGATTATCCGTTGGTCACTTCAAGTGCGACGTTGCTAATGAATCACCTTCAATTGAAAATTGTTGGAGTGTAGCCCATATTTTAAGTTATATAGGAAATTAATATCATCAAGTTTGTGAATAAAGAGTTTATTATCCACTTTATCGAATGCTTTACTGAAATTATATGTATAAAATATCTTTTATGAGACTTGAGAAACTATATTTTTCGAGAACACTTGATGCCATACATTTTATAAACTACCCTCGGCTCTACTCGTTACAATCGGTGGACATTTGTTATTACCCCAATTATTCACAATCCCAATAGCAACCCCTGGAAAAAATCAGCATTCAAAAATTACAACAGATAATCTCCTTCTCCAATACCTACGAAATCGGCAAAATCGCTCAACATCAGTCCTGCTCTATCATCGAACAACAATAAAACAACACTTCGCGAATGACGTGGAGCAAACGATCAAATGCCATATAATTCATTAGGCTTAACGTTTACCGGCTCTGCCGGATACACCGATAACAGAAAAGCATCAAAGCTGGAAATCAATGGTGTTTGCTGCTGTTCGTCATTAATTGATCTGTTCGAGCAACACGTAGCTTTTTTGTATCTGAAATCATTTATCGTCTGGCTCATTTAATGTCGCGATCGTGGTTGGCTGAAAAGCTAACGATTTGTTATTATAATTCATACAAAGGGCTGTTTTAAGCTGAAAAGTCTGAATGTAGACTGAAAACTCACTTAAATCCATTGATTTCTTCTAGTACAATGAATTATTAATTTTTCTAGGAAGTTTTCAGATGTGATAAAGCTCTGCATGGCTGAATCTGTTGTGAGATTTATCCTGAGGTGGGTTATAGGGCACGACAGGAGTGAAGGTAATCGCATTGCCGACTCTTTAGCCAAGGAATCGGCTGGACGAAGTGACACCTACGGCCTGATGACCTCTACAATTGCCGAATTAGCCAAACGCAACATCCATGCTCAATCTCTAAGGAAATAGAATGGAATCAAAGGATCCAATCTATCCAGGTTCACCCTGAACGACCCTGAGAAGCTGTCGCCGAAGAAATATCTGGCGAGTTCAAGAAAAAACCTACGCTTAACTCCCCAATTATTCACAATC